ACAATGAGGACACAGAGAAGAGCGAAGAGATATCGTCAAAAGGGAATCGATATATCGGTATATCTATGTTATCGTTGACACCGGAACTGATGGATGACTTGAAATTAAGTGACAATTTGCCAAATGTGTCGAACGGCATACTTGTATGGAAAGTGATGGTGGACTCACCCGCGCACCTGTATGTGTACATTACATGCAGATAATCACTTGTAATGAATGAATGTTGTCCTCACTATAGGCTGGGCGTCAGACCGGGAGATATTATAACCAAGATTAATGGCGAGAAGGTTACGGGTGTAGACGATATGATTAAAGCTTTGGAAACTAAAGCTAATTTTATTATTACTGTCGACATGAAAGATAGATTTATTAATCTCGTTATTGTGCCAGATGCTATGGATATTAAATCTTAAGATATTATTCAGGATGTCTAAAGATAATTAACAACTAATTTAAGTATTTGATGTTAATCTATGTATTTCTTATACATTTATGCATTTTATAACTAAATGTCTAAATTTTAGACTAAAACACGGATCATATTATGATGTATACATACAAATAGTTTAGTGTATGCATACTTTTAATTCAGCACAATTTATTAATTATAATTGAATTTACTATATTTTTATAGATTTATTAATATTTTATTATATGTCATATATAATATATGATCATTTATTTCATTAATAGTTTTAATAAGATGTAATTTTTATTATAATTAATGCTTTATATAAATACTTTCTGTTACCCAAAATATACTCTTTGAATGTCATAAGACTTAATAACATAAACCTTTAAATAATAATAAGACACTAATTGACCAAATGGTCGGTCATTTGAAGACTGATCTCAAAACCAAACTTCGGGAACGAATGATATCCTATACTTATTGTGTCCCCAATTAAGCGCTCAATTATCACATCATTATTAGTCTAATTATTCAATGTTATATTAAAATCCAGTAAAACAATACTCAATTAAATTATGATTCATTATATTTTTGATACAAATTTTGAATGTTTTTCAGTTTTTCCAAATTAAATTTTAGTTAATTTCTCAATAAAATTATTTGTTATATGAATATACAGTACATGTACAGTATGTATAACTTATATATAAAATCGTTTTTCTGTTAGTATTGAATGAATTCAAATACGTTTAATTTGATATGTGATTATAATTAACTGAATATCACTTATTAAATGATATGACCACTTAAATTTCAATTACTAATTGAAAATACTATGTTTTGAATGCAATTCTGGTTTGATTTGGTGTGAATCATGTCTGGTATTATATTTGATATTATATTTCAAACACTCTTTTGTCAATCAATTGTTTTATTTAAGGTTAAAAGCTGTAAGTTTTAACTTAAAACATATTTCTATTACATTAAAATCACTTAAATAACCAACATAGTTTTCCATATAGTTTTGCTTTAATTATAAAATGTAAAAATGCTTAACATTTCCTATAATTTTTATAACTTTTATAGAATTTTTGTTAATTTTTTAATTAATATCTTTTAATATTAAACATTCATAAGACATCTGCGATTATATAATAATATTTATATAAAAGACAATATTGTATTTGAAATACAAGACTATTAATTGTTTATTATTCATTTGAGATATAATTTATATATAAACAACTTTTCAGTACTTTTAAAATAAGCAGTTTCTCATTTCAAGTCCGTGTTATAAGAGATGTAAAATTGTTCATCAATTATCTGCTGGTCTTTTGTCAATTGAAATGCAGTCCACTCTTCATGACTAAACTCTTTGTGGACTTTCCGACAGCTTTTCGCATAATTCAGATACCATTACAACAGGTTTTCAATCAATAGATATTGACTTTGAATTTAACTATTAATGTAATAATTGTTTACTTTTTAAATATATATTTTGACACCGATTGACAACCTCTTGTCTCCCATTGAAAGCGATTGTCAAACACTGGAAGCGATGTTAAAATCATTACTTTGTGGGGCTCTCACACCAGTGGACAGCCCTCTGCTGTACGCCATTGCTGTCCATCATCTGAATCACCGGCTGTTCCGCGACTGCGGCGCCAATCGGTCTCTGCTTTCGGTCAAACATAAGCCCACATTTGATCGACTCATACGATCGGTCCATAACTCACGCAATGATGTATTAAAACAACATTTATTAAAATATTCATACTTTTAATTACAAACACAGCTTTGCATTGGATTTACCGGTTTATAATTTTAATAGTTTTTCTAATATATTAATAAATTGTGGGTCTATTTTGTACTGTATATCTGAAACCAAACTTCTTGTCAAACATAACTATAACTAAATCCATGAAATCTAATGCAAAAACAAGAATTTTTGTGGCATTTTTTACATTAAATTCATTCGTTAAATAAACAAATGACAAAAACAGATACAATGTATTATATTGCATAAAACAGTTTATGAATGCAAGATCTCAATAGTTGCCACAAAAATGCATTTGAAATATAAAACTAATTCTTATTTAATTTTATATTTATAAATTTTTATTCTCTAATAAATGTTATATAAATTAATACATGATTAGAAATAAAATGCATTAAAACAACTAATTTTACAGAATTTAAATCGAGTGAAACAAAAGTCACAAAACTTTATATTGTAGTCGTTGAAACAACTACATGATTTTAATATGACTAATTTAACCTTGCTAAATGTTTTGTACACATTTACAACATTTTTTAATTATGAACAACATCCTTTAACTATGAACAACATACTATATGCAAATCATATAAGCTCTGCTAAACAATATTCTGTATGTATTCTTGATCCACACCTCAACACTTTCACATCTATTTTATTATATTAAATAAAGTTACCTTCAATGTATATTCAAAACCAACTGAGTAACAACATTATTAATTACAACAAAATACATTTTTTAGCGTGTGTTCAGCGCTGTCTCTATGCAACAGAAGTGTGCCTTAATTCTGGCCATCAATACGGGCGTTGGGTTTGACCGGACGTTTTACTGACCAAATTTTGAGTTATATTACAGATAAATATGTATTTTATTTCGCAATTTACTTATTAAAGGGATTTTTGAGACAATTATATAAAATTTTAAACATTTATAAAATTGATAAATGATTAGTAGGACTGTCTGTCTGTATGAATGCTGTCTATGGCTATACCGGTGCTGTCGGTGGCCATCATTTATCACAAGCGGGTGCGTTGTTAACGGTATCCAAACCAATAATCCTAAGCTTATGTCCCTCGACGTGGATCACAGCCGAAGAGTTATTTGTACCGCAATAGTGAGAACAGGAGAAGATTGTCCTATACTTGGAATGTAGTGATGGTGTCGTCAAAGACTCCGCCCTTTGTTTTATACTTATTTAAAATGATTGTTATATAATATTTCCCATTCACTTAACCGTCCCATCAGTGAAATATGAAACATTTGTAATGAATAATTAAAATAACAACATTTTTGGTATAAAATCTAATGGCATTTGAAAAGTTACTTCACATGCGATCGACAACTAAATCATGGCATCAACTGATGACAGACAAGTGAAGACAAAAGTGACGTTCAAAGTGAACAACTTTAGCGATATCGACGCCGGAGATGTGTTGGGCGATCCGTTTAGCATCGGATCCGAAGAATGGCGAGTCTATATAAAAATTGAAAACATCGGCGACTGTCCATATCTCGGCGTTTACGGCCAAATCATGAATTCAAATATTCGTAGTACGGGTCAGACGTTTCCCACAAAGTTCTGGGTATACATTGTGGGCATCGATGGCCAACCACTGGGCGAGACATTTAGCGGTACCGAACTATTAGAGATGGGCGACTGGTTTGGCAAAAGAACATTTGCCAAAGTGTCGGAACTGTTGGATCAATCGGACAAATACTTGCCCAACAATACACTCACCGTTAACTTCGATATCTTTACGTCCTTAAAGGCGTACAATGAATGGCCGCTTAGGAGGAGACACGAGAAGAGCTATAATAACAAATTGTTGAGTGACTGTCTATTTGTTGTCGGAGACAAACCCTTCTACGCCTCCAAAGCCGTTCTGAGCGCTGAGTCGGATGTGTTTGATCGCGAGTTTACCGCTGATATGTTGGAGAAGACAACCGGTGTTGCGGTGATCGATGACATCGACCCCAATGTCTTCGAACAGTTCCATCAATTCTTGTATTTGGGAAAAGCAGAACATTTGGAAGATATGGTCAAAGAATTGCTTTACGTGTCCAACAAATACATGGTCTCAGAGCTGAAGACTATTTGCGAGAATTTGTATTTCTTGCGAATAAACCCGAAGAATGCGTTTGAAGTAATGGAAGTGATGGACAAATACGGAAACAATGAACTGAAGGCAAAAGCGATTGAATACATGAAAGACAATGCGTTTGAATGTCTTAAGACGTGTGAATGGCGTGAATGGACTCAAAGCGCTTCCAATCATAAAGAACTCAAAGACCAAATGTTGGATCTGATAAACACTAAATCCAGACCCAAGAAGTCGACCCATACTATGGCTTATAGTTATTTGATCTAAACTTTGGTGATGTGTTCACTACATCACTATAACTAACGTAAACTATAATCTATTTAACATAAATTCAATTTAATTGATCATTTATCATATAAAAAAGTTTCAATGTAAAGTAAAATAAGTCTCTCTCTCTCTCTCTCTCTCTCTCTCTCTCTCTCCAAAAATTTATTGTTTTGAATAATCATTTAATTTAATTATATGTCAATAAAACTGTTTATTAAATTAAAATATATTATATCTATAATGATATATAAAATCATTGAGAATTAGATTTAATTGTCAATAAAATGATAAAAATTTGTCACAATATATGAATGAATTCAAAGTTTGCGCTAAAAATGATGTTTACATCAAAAACACGTGACTTTTGTTTGACAACACATTTGATGCCATTTCTCGGCTTAAGATCTGTTTGAAAGACAATCAGTGCTGAAGACATCCACTCATCAGACAATCCATGGCTAAGACAATGGCCTCAAGACATACACTCAACACACTTGAGGTCCGATTGAATGACATTTGGATCAGTTGTCAGAAAGAGATGTTAGAAATGAAAGACAAAATCACACAAATGTCTATTTGTCTTCAGACATCGGATCAGGTCATCACTCATATGACAAAAATCAACGAAACTCTTGTGGAGATCATAGAGAAGTGTCACTTCAAAGACCACATGAGTCCAGAGATGGACGCAATGGTGGATGTGATCCGAAAACAGGAGGAATGCGTTGACAAACAAAAAGACAATTTACTCACACTTAAGATGACATTGAATGCCAACAATGGACACAATGTTATGGATCTGATCCACAGTTGGAGACAATGCATACTAACAACCGATAAATGCATTCAAACCACCGAAGAGTTGGTAAACAGTGTCCCAAAGATTGAGATAAAAGATGAGAGAAATACTGAAGACATTGACGCAAAGATCAGCGAAACTATTGATTGTGTCTTAAATATCATTAATAAACCCATTGATGGCATTGAATCCATGGACTCAATGGAGGCCACAGACATGGATGGCGGCGGCGGTGCCAGTGATGCCGGAAGTGTTGTCTCATTTAATTTAGACAACAATAGCGACAGCAATGACAGTGACTTTGAAGTGAAGACTAAATTCTTATCAAAAAGTGTCCGAAAGAGAGTCAAGAGAAGCGGTTCCCGATCGGCGGCGAAGAGGAGAGCCAAATGGCCATCAGATCACGACAAACGAATCGAATCGCTCGTACGGCCGGATCACCTTCAAGACGACCAATACGTTTGCGACGAAACCAACTGTCACTTCAAGACCACAGATCGGCTGCGTTTCTATAACCATCTGCGAAGACATCCATACCTTCACAAACCCAACTACAAGAGGAGCGAAATGATCGACGATCTGGTGATGTCGATGCGCGACGAGTCGGCCAACCTATACGTGTGCGACCGACCGGACTGTACGGTCCAGTTGTCGAACAAACGCGAGTTTTATAATCACGTGCGAAGACATGTGACCGCTGGACACGCCGTACAGCTCGACGACAACGACGCGGCCGAACGGTTGCGGGCGAAGAATCGCCGCAAACAAGAGCTCATCGAAACGAGTGTCGCGAAGTACAGAGTGGACGACAAGTACGCGTGCGATGTCGTCGACTGCGGCTTCACGGCCACCAAGAAGATGCTGTTTTACCGGCACTGGCGGCTACACAACCCGTTGCCGGCGCCCGAGTCGGCGATGTATGACCAGACGCTGGAGCGGCCGTACATTTGCGATTGGCCGGAATGCGGCGCCGCCTATAAACTGCATCAACACCTGAAGAAACACAAACTGATTCAACACATGAATATACTGGAGTTCGCGTGCAATTGGCCCGGATGTGAATATAGGACGCACTCCAACCACTCGCTCGGTGTACACCAGCGCACCCACACCCAGGAGAAGCCCCGCGCCTGCACGTGGCCGGGCTGTGAGTTCCGGTGCTCACAGAAGTGGTCACTCACCGCACATATGCGCACCCATACCGGCGATAAGCCCTATCACTGTCCGTACCCGGAGTGCGGCTTCCGGTGCGCCCAACCCTGCGCTCTGACCGCTCATAAACGCAAACACACCGGAGAGAAGCCCTACGCTTGCGATCAAAGAGGTTACGCATATTGTCTGCTAATATGTTGTAATGATTTTTAATTTAATTGTTTTTTGTGACTCTTAGGCTGTGGTAAACGGTTCGCAACTCTGGCCGGCATTCATATCCACCGCAAAAGTCATATATCTGTCGATACAACGAGTTGTGGCCCAAAGAGCAAAGCAAAACGTGCGGTAAAGTCACGGAAATCGGCGGACAGCGAGCGGACAGTCGGTGCCAAACGAAAGCCCGATGAAAGTAATGGTGACCTCAGCTCGTAGTTCCCCTTTTACTCGTTATTATACATTGTAATTGTTTTCAATACATTTTCACATTCACTATATTTACAATTATTTTAATTAATTTAATCCATTATTTTAATTGTGTATTATTTAATTTGTATATAAGTTATTGTAAAAAATAATCAAATGTGCCCAAAATTAATTTAATAAAATAACTATGTTTAAAAATAATATGCTTTGCATGTGTTTCACTTCAATTGTTAACCCTCTTAGGACTTAAGGCTATGGCCAGTGGTATAACCACTACACCTCTATTGACTCAATAGATTAAACAATTTTATCACACTTTCAGTGCATTTCTTATCAATTTGTTATACATTTGTTTTTACAAATACAAAAACACGTTTCATTGTGTTTATAAATCATTGTATTTTCACCACAACTGCTATAATGGCATCAAATGAAGTGATCTTCAGGACTAAAGCGGTTCTCAGAGTGAAAAACTTTACGGAACTAAAGGAAACTGAAGTCATGAGCGATGTGTTTAAGATTGGATCCGATGAATGGCGGGTCGCGATCACCAATAAAGACTTTGATGGCGACAAATATATTGGTATTTGCATTTATGCAATCAATAGTACAGACAAGACAATTGATTTCAAATCCAGTGTCTATATGTTGGACACCGATTGTCAACCAATGGAAGTCAGACTTTTTGACAGAAAACTGATTGCTCTGAAATCAAGTTTAGTGCACACAAAGTATGCCAAACTCTCGCAACTATTGGACCAAATGGACACCTATTTGCCTAACAATACACTCACACTTGGATTCGATATCACTGTCTATAAGACAATACCTTTTGGACACAACTCGAGGTTTTCCTTTAGAAATAGTTTTAATAACAAAGAGTTGAGTGACTGTCGACTCGTTGTCGGCGGCAAAGAGTTGTTCGCCTGGAAGGCTATTCTCATGGATCGGTCGCAAGTGTTTTATAATATGTTTACGAATGATATGTCGGAAAAGGGATCAAATGAAGTGATTATCGATGACATCGACGCCAATGTCTTCAAAGAGTTTCTTCGATACCTATATTTTGGTGATTCTGATAAATTAGAAGAATATTCCGAAGAATTGCTGTACGTTTGCGAGAAGTATATGGTTTGGGATTTGAAGACTATTTGTGCGAATTTATATTTCTTGCGAATAAACCCGAAGAATGCGATGAAAGTATTGGAAGTAATGAATAAATACGGAAACAATGAACTGAAGACAAAAGTGTTTCAATTCATAAAATACAATTCGTTTGAATGTCTTGAGACTCAATGGCGTAAAGACTGCACCAATAATGTGGAACTAATTGAACAAATGGTAATAAATACGGAAACAATGAACTGAAGACAAAAGTGTTTCAATTCATAAAATACAATTCGTTTGAATGTCTTGAGACTCAATGGCGTAAAGACTGCACCAATAATGTGGAACTAATTGAACAAATGGTTCAACACATGAAAACATATCCCAAGTCCAAGAAGTTGTCTCATATTATGGTCTATACATATTTGCCCCCAATATAGACATTCACTTATCATATGATTATTTTAATTCAATTTCACACAAATTACAATTAAGTTTATCAATAAAATAACTATTTTAAAAATTATACAACACTTTAAGCGTCATTCAATTGTTAGCACACTTTAGGACCCATTCCTTTAGATCTCTCACTGCATTACATGAAGGCGTGAACTAAGCCATACCCTCCGGTCAATTGACCGCCACTATTGCCAGGGGTTTGACCTTAACATGTGTTGAAAGCATTGAATCCTTTTACTTATTGATCCTATTTTTAGTACAATTCCTATGAATTAGTGCCCATTATTCACAATACAAGCTCTCATTGTATTGAAAGGCATTGTTTTTCGCACCACAACTGCCATAATATGATGGCATTAAATGAGATGATCTTCAGGACTAAAGTGGTGTTCAAAGTGAACAACTTTACCAAAATTAAGGACAAGAATGTGTTCAGCGATTACTTCGCCATCGGATCCGATGAATGGCGAGCGTATATCACGATCGATGCCTTCGGGGGCGAGAAATATATCGGCGTTTATCTATTGCTGCATAAAAGCGAAGACAAGACATTTGACTTCAATTTCAACGCCTATTTTCTGGACACCGATTGTCATCCATTGGACACTAAGGTTGGCTCAAAAGAACCGATTATTTTCAACAAGAGTTTTGGTGACACAAAGTTTGCCAAACTTTCGCAACTATTTCGTCAAATGAACACTTATTTGCCAAACAATACGCTCACAATTGGTTTCGATATCACTGTCTATAAGACAATAACCTCCGGACACACGAAGAGATTTTGTTTTCGGAATAGTTTTAATAATAAAGAGTTGAGTGACTGTCGACTCGTTGTCGGAGATGAAGAGTTCTTCGCCTCGAAAGCCATTCTTAGCGATCGGTCGCAAGTGTTTCAACAGATGTTTACCACTAATATGTCGGAGAAGACAACGAGTGAAGTGATTATCGATGACATCAATATCGACGCCGAGATATTTGAAGAATTTCTGCGTTTTATATATTTCGGTGATTCAAACAAATTGCAAGAATATTCTGAAGAATTGATTTACATGTCCGAGAAGTATATGGTTTGGGATCTGAAGAATATTTGCGAGAATTTATATTATCTGCAAATAAATCCGTTCTTACGCAAGTTTCACAACCTTCACTACCTGTTTATGCCTTTGTTACTCAACTTCTAATTTCGCTAACTTATATACTTTCTGTTACACAAACTGACAGACCTCTGAGTAACCAGATTTTAGTAACACAATAATGAGAAACTAATTGAACAAATGATGAAACACTTGAAGACTGATTCCAAGTCCGAGAAGTTGTCCGAAACTCTGGTCTATACATATTTGCCCCCAATTTAGACATTCATTCATTATATCATTAATTTTGATATCACTTTATGTAACAAAATATTTCATAAATTTTTAATGAATATAAAATGAATACATTTTAACTATTAAATGATTGACTACTTTCGCGATTAATAAACTTTATTACTGAATCAGTTTTTCATAAAATCTATGACAAAGTCTATGTTTTAAATAAAATTATATTCAAAAAACATATAAAAATCAGTTTCTGTTCATTGAATTTCTAACAACTAATCTTCGAGACACTCGAGTGGTTTCCAGCAGAATATGACCGCAACGGCCATCACAACGATCACCACAAACAGCATTAC